TACGGCCCACTCGCGCGAATCGCACACTCACACACACAAGAAGTAAAGTATACGAAGGCGGAACAAAATTAAGCTTGCAAAGCCTAGTACACAATTTTAGCCTGTCGGCTAGTGTGAAGCGCTCGCGCGGGAGTCGTACCTGCAGGGGGCTCCACACATTGGTGGATGGCTCCCCATTCCTTCCCGTAGGGTGCGAGCATGTCGTCCGGGGTGTCCCCCTTAACCCGGACGCTGTCATTTAACGCCGTACAGTGGCGGGTCGCAGCTTCACTCTCAACTAGCCCTGGGCTGGGCAGGTCCAGCGTGCTTCCAGCTGTCGTGCATGCTCGAACTCGGCCGTATATCGCTGCTCCGTCTCGCATGCTGCCTGCTTCAGCAGGCGCAGGTTGGCGGTGAGGTCCGGCTCAAGGTTAGTCACGCTGAGGAACTGCTTGATTATCCTCTTGCGCTCGTGTGGCGTAGTGTAGAGCGGCCGGAGCAGGCGGACGTGGTCCAGCATCTTGAAGCGGGTCAGCAGCACATACAGGGTGGTGCACTTGATCCCGTTGGGTGGGACAGCGAGATCCACCAGCCAGCACTCGTCTTTGAAGCTGCGGCCTTGCACGAAGTAATCGGTTACCGCCTGGCGGTCGCCGAGCGGCACGTTGAGGCGCCGGATCTGCTTTGTGATGGTGCCACATCCGGCGGCGGGCATCTCCACCTCGGCAATGCAAGACGCCCGGGGTGACAGGATGAAGGCCCCGCCCCTGCTGGTGTAGTCTCCAAGGCCCTGCAGCACGGTCTCTGGGATGTGGCCGCTTATAGGCCGCACAATGACGGCCGCTGGAAGGTACTTGAGCCGGCGATAGGGGCCACGGCCGTCATCTGCTGGCTCACGGCCATCCTCAAGCAAGCCGCAGGCTTCCACTTCGTTGTTGTGACTAGCCCCGGCATCGGCTGCCGTCATGTCAAGGAGGATGTAACGGGCGCCATGGTAGTACCATGTGTCGGCGGTGGTGTGGCCAAACTCGTCATCCTTGATCCGCATTGCAACTGCTTTCTCCACGTGTGTTAGGGCCGGCTCCACAGCAGCGCCGCGCTTCTGGACAGGGACGTGGTCCACGTTCCACACCACAACACGCTGGTTCTTGCGCTGTGCCTCCAGCATGATGAGCCTGGTGTTGAGCGTGTGGTGTGAGAGCATTTGCGGCACTCGAAGTGACTCGATGGACAGGGGGGGAGAGACGACGACAGCTCCGCCGGCGGCTGCATCACCAGAGGCGACACCACCGCCGCTGTTGCCGCATTTGCAGCACTCGAAGGGACTCGATGGACAGGGGGGGAGAGATGACGACAGCTCCGCCGGCGGCTGCATCACCAGAGGCGACGCCGCCGCCGCTGTTGCCGCATTTGCGGCACTCGAAGTGACTCGATGGACAGGGGGGGAGAGATAACGACAGCTCCGCCGGCGGCTGCATCACCAGAGGCGACGCCGCCGCCGCTGTTGCCGCATTTGCGGCACTTGAAGTGACTCGATGGACAGGGGGGGAGAGATAACGACAGCTCCGCCGGCGGCTGCATCACCAGAGGCGACGCCGCCGCCGCTGTTGCCGCATTTGCGGCACTCGAAGTGAGTCGATGGACAGGGGGGGAGAGATAACGACAGCTCCGCCGGCGGCTGCATCACCAGAGGCGACGCCGCCGCCGCTGTTGCCGCATTTGCGGCACTCGAAGTGACTCGATGGACAGGGGGGGAGAGATAACGACAGCTCCGCCGGCGGCTGCATCACCAGAGGCGACGCCGCCGCCGCTGTTGCCGCATTTGCGGCACTCGAAGTGAGTCGATGGACAGGGGGGGAGAGATAACGACAGCTCCGCCGGCGGCTGCATCACCAGAGGCGACGCCGCCGCCGCTGTTGCCGCATTTGCGGCACTTGAAGTGACTCGATGGACAGGGGGAGAGAGATAACGACAGCTCCGCCGGCGGCTGCATCACCAGAGGCGACGCCGCCGCCGCTGTTGCCGCATTTGCGGCACTCGAAGTGAGTCGATGGACAGGGGGGGAGAGATAACGACAGCTCCGCCGGCGGCTGCATCACCAGAGGCGACGCCGCCGCCGCTGTTGCCGCATTTGCGGCACTTGAAGTGACTCGATGGACAGGGGGGGAGAGATAACGACAGCTCCGCCGGCGGCTGCATCACCAGAGGCGACGCCGCCGCCGCTGTTGCCGCATTTGCGGCACTTGAAGTGACTCGATGGACAGGGGGGGAGAGATAACGACAGCTCCGCCGGCGGCTGCATCACCAGAGGCGACGCCGCCGCCGCTGTTGCCGCATTTGCGGCACTTGAAGTGACTCGATGGACAGGGGGGGAGAGATAACGACAGCTCCGCCGGCGGCTGCATCACCAGAGGCGACGCCGCCGCCGCTGTTGCCGCATTTGCGGCACTTGAAGTGACTCGATGGACAGGGGGGGAGAGATAACGACAGCTCCGCCGGCGGCTGCATCACCAGAGGCGACGCCGCCGCCGCTGTTGCCGCATTTGCGGCACTTGAAGTGACTCGATGGACAGGGGGGGAGAGATAACGACAGCTCCGCCGGCGGCTGCATCACCAGAGGCGACGCCGCCGCCGCTGTTGCCGCATTTGCGGCACTCGAAGTGACTCGATGGACAGGGGGGGAGAG